ATATCTGATCTGAGTGTTTCTCTCAAGTTTCAATTATGTAAGCACTAAGGGGCAATAAAATTGCACACAGGTTTAGCCTGCTTTAGAGTAAGCATTATAACATCAGACAAATATAAATGCAGTTCCTTTCTTACTGATGTTCAATAGCACTGGTTACTTATTTTTCTAATTTTTGCAAATATTTATCATATTATCACTGGAATAGCTGAAACATTGAAAGGACTTTCATGTTTGGAACTGGAGTTCAGTTTTGTTTTCCTGCTTAAAACACTAGAAAATCATATTGCTTGCAATGAGACAGATAACCTAATAAACTAGGTGATTTGCAGGTATAAAAGACTAAAACAATCTATAGCCTGTGTTTCCAATCCACTGTGGTGAAGGGAAAAAACACCATTGACTACACCCTTTTCACAGATAGAGGTCACTAATGGACTGGATTTGAATCTGCCTAGTGAAAGCCTGAAAGTTACATGAAAGTATCCTAGACAAAAATGAACTCTTTTTGAGATTAAAGAGGTAACAGAAATGATTAAAAAACAAAGCTCTCACCTTCCTGAAGAAAGTATTATCTTAAGTGTGCCTTCTTTCTAGTCCTTTAAATAGACAGTTCAGTGCCGGAAAAGCCACACAGTTGTACTTGTTTCAACTCCTTTTTGTTTTCTTCACTTGTTAAAACTATGTCTCTCCTTCTCTGCTGCGGGAAGGGTAGGGAAGTCAGCCCTAATGACATCCCACATTTTAGATACTGCTATTTTAAGCAGTTGAATGCAAGCACATTCTCGATTCTTGAAGGAAAGCATAGCCTATGTAATGCAGATTCCAACTGGAAGGGTGTAGGGTTGCGCAAAGGAGATATGTCTACATCCTAAATCAAACTCTCCAGCAAGCCAGGATATAAATGTGACTTGTAACAGTGGCTCAAATTAGATCCAGACTTCCCCAAGCCAAACACAGATAACATCACCTTATACAAAATATAGGGTGTACTTGTGTGTGAGGAGCGACTCTTAAGAAACCTGAGTGCATTCCAGCACCACTTCTTGCTAAAGCCTTGGACTTTGGAAATGACTGTTCTAGTCACAGGTAGTTTTATAGACACTCTATTTGCACAGTGCTCTGACTTGTTTTACCTACAGTACTCCAGGCCTGAACTCTCTTAACTGCCTCGCTACCATATCAGGACACAGAACAACCATTGAAATAGCTTCTTGAAATCTCACCTCACATAATTTTCAGAAACAAGACCAACACTAGCATTCCAACATCACTTTTGTCACATAGAAATAATGACTTTAAAATCACATCTGTTATGTCTTTTTTTATTATGCAATGTTTAGATCTTTTTCATTATGCAAAGTTTATGTCTCAGTGATAACATTGCATACATCATCACTTTCAAAGAAAGGAAAGAAGGGTGGGTAGAGATATAGGTACAGTACCCTTTAAGAGTTTTGAAAAAAAATGCCAGGATGAATTTTTCTCCTTCCAAAAATACATATATTGAAAATCAATTCATTATCTTTGTCTTAAACTACAGATATATAAAGGTCTTTCTTTGGATAAAGACCATGTCAGTGAATGAAGCAAGGAATTAAGTCCATGGAAATTTGTGGAGGGTTTTGCATGGTTAGTTTGGTTCATTAAACCCAAGCACTGATCAATCTCAAGCTCTAAACTGGCTTAATTTCACTGCAAGCACTGTAAAGTTAGTTACAGTAAATAAACCTCTCTTTAACACACACCCTGACTTTCGGGGGAAGGGGGGGGAGGGAATGAATCAGAGAGGGAGAGGGAGGTAGAGAGGAGAGGTCTGACTTGCTTTTAGTATGGTTTCCTGCTCCTCATCTAAGGAACCTCTCCCCTTCTATTTGGCTGAAGGCTGCATTGCAAAAAGCAGTATCTGGAGAAGTATAATCAGTACCTTCCACACACAGTGCAGGAATTTACACGGATTTGTGCTTTGGATTTATTAGCTTATTGTAAGCCTTAAAACAGATTTCCTCCATTAAAATTAATTAAAAGCTCCTGTTGACTGCTTCCCACTCTGAAAAGAAGGTGGAGAATCTTACTCTCTTAACTTTGTTGATTGTTTATTTATCTTTTTTATGGGGTTTAATCCCATATTCAAGAGCAGTCTTTTCAGCTACTTGACTTCCTTTCGCGATCTGCTATTTTTGTTCACACACCATCCCCAAGCACCCA